ACTATGTGATAACCAGCATTCGAAAATTGTTTAGCCAACATAGTCTGCCTGGAGCGTTGAGTCCAATGAGCTCTTGAGTCCTGGCCGACATCCGCTTCCTATTGGTCCTGGTCCATCTGTCAGTATTGCTCCTAAGGGTAAGCACATTAGCCCGTCCCACTTTGATAGCTAAGCTAGCGAGCCCACTGGAAGCACCTGTACCTTGAACACGAGGCCCTGGAATCGGGCGAAATCCACCAAGAATCTCCCCCGTAGTGTACCCCCCTGGAATCATGCTCGGGACCTCAAGGTAATTGTCCTCGGAAATTCGGGGGAGTGGTGTCTCTGGGCATTGCGCGGCTAGGCCTTGTTCATACATCCAAAGCCATGCAACTGGGGTAGCATCAAACATATACTTTGCGAACGGCATGTAGGGTGGGCATGGCAAAAGACCCATGCCAGACAGACGAGCAATCGTGTCAACCAACTCGTTGAAGCCTTCACCGATGTGGGACGAGACGTGGCGAAACGACAGGTCCCTGGAGTCCTCGAGCCATTTAGCAACGGAACGGAGAAACAACAAAACCGAGTTTTTGAAATCGAAGTGTTGGGAGCCCGAGATGATGCCGAGGGTCCGCTTGGAATCAAGCACAAAGTCAACAGGAACGTCAGGGTAGCGTCCTTGGGCAACATATGTCAGGGCCCACACAGCAGCCATCAATTCGGATGAGTCAGAAGACTGTTGAACTGGAAGCACTTCCTTTAGATCATCGGGCACATTAGCCGAGAGGTGTCCTGCGACGGCGAAGACCCCGTCGGAGTAGTGATAGACAACAACCACAGCAGCTGCAGGGACAACTGGTATGCTTGCAGCCTGACTGCCTCCCGTTCCATCCGTGTAGAAACAGACACGCACCGGGGAGGGAGGTTAGAGGAGAGGGGAAGGGCACTGCGAATCCACTCCTTGGTGGCGGGATGGGGATACTGACCCAGAATCTCCGGCAAGAAATATTCAAGCTGGAAAGGCCAGGGCTGACAACATGTGTTTCTGGCATCGCCAACTGGGAGAAAAGGGAAAATCCTTGGGGGCTGTGTGAGCCCTTTCTGGAACTCACACCATGGGGAGGGGGAAGACTGAGATGACAGGAGGTTCGGATGAGGGTGGCCGCTGCTCACGTGGGCAGGGGCCTCAGTAGATGCTACGCCGAGTCTGGCGCCACTGTCTGCGCAGGGCCCCCCAACGGCGTCCTGGACTTCTGAATCTCCTGAGCTGCATCTCTCTCCGCCATGCGGTCGCGACTGCGTCCGCGACCTGGGCTGGCAGAGCCCCCTTCGCCTGGCGGCGTCCGCCTCGGTGTCGTAGCCGTCGTCGTTCTTCTCCGTCCTCGGTCTTGGGGCCACGGCGGCCGCTGGCGGGAGTGCCCCCGCGCCCAGGACCGCCTGCCGGGCAAGCAACGTCGCCTGGGTCGGAGGGGCGGGCGTCGCTGGCGGGGTGGCCATGCCCTCGACGGGGCCGCCGAGGTCGCACGGGCCCGCTGGGGCCTGCGCCTCGGCAGCCAGCCCGCCAGCAGGGCCCACGCGGGAAGCCCCCCCTGGGGCGGAGGCCCTTCCCGCGGAGGCTGCCCGTCGACTGGAGGCCCGCGATGGCATTCGTGAGGTTGTTGACCTGCTCCATGAGCATGGCCATCTGTTCCTGCTGGAGTGCCATGGCCACGAGGGTGCTCGACTGGGCCTGCTGCGGCTGGAACTTCATGTCGGCGTCCTCCTCCGTCTTGTCTTGTTGAGCTTGAGCTGCTTGCTGACGTTGTTCTTCTTTCAGAATCTGAAGTTCGGCCCGAGCCGAACGCATGTGTGCCAAGTCCTGCTGGTGCTTCTTCACGTGGGCCGTGAGGGTCTCCATCAGGTACTCCGTCTCGTGCAGGTCGTTGGAAGCCTTCTGATAACGCTTCTCCGCCCTTCCAATCGCCTCGTCCTGCTTGATGATCTGCTCCGCAATGCCACGAGCTTGGTACATCATAATCAAGGTAACTGCATACTCCTGGGCTGCATCCTCTGTGGGCTGACCTGCTGCATGACTATCCTTGATCAGCGTGTCCAGAACTTCGAGACGGGCTGCTGCGTTCTGCCTGTAGGCTTCCTTCGTAGCGTCGGTCGCTGAAGAAGGGGGTGGTGGTCGGAACCTAGAATGCACTGCTGCCGCCGAAGGAAGAGCTGGACGGATGTGGAGGAGCTCCTTGGCGGAGATCGCCTCGTCCTCCTCCCACTCGTCCTCGTCTGCCCATTCCCACGAATCCTCCTCCTGTGGTGTCGTTGATATGGCCGGCTTCGTAGCTGGACCAGGAGCTGGAGGAGGTTGGACAGCACGCCAAGGTGGAACGGGCGGGACTGTACCTCCAGTCCGAGTCGGGCCGTTGGACTTGTCCCTGGACTTGCCCTTGGTGGTCTTGTCCTTGCCCTTGCCTTTGCCCTTGTCCGTAGTCTTCCGCAGCGCGAGGTCGGCGGCTGTGGGCGGCAAGCAGGTACGGCACGTAGCACGGGCCGACCAGTTGATGGTGCTGCACTCCTTGCACTGCCAGGTAGACTTGTTCGAGGCAGCACCAGGCGAGGACCAAGAGGACACCTTTTGCGACTGAGCCATGCCTCCCTGACTGCTGTGATGCAATTCGAGAAGTCGTTTTGCTCCCGCAACGCGCACGATGGCCCGCGCAAGCGAGCGCTTCACACGTGCACGTCTATACCAGGCAGACTCGGGGAGTTGACGGACAGCCGTTGCGTCAGCTATCGCGTGGGGCCGTCTCGGGGCGGGGTCCTCGCAGGTGCCTGGCACCTGCACCCAAAGGTCCCTGAGCCCGGACGGCAGTCTAGGGAGGGCAGGACGGAGGGAGTAGAGAAGAGGGTTAGGGCAGCCGGACCCGACCCGACCCGGCCCGCCAGTTAGGGTCCGCCCGTCCCGACCCGACCCGACCCGCCCGTTAGGGTCCGCCCGATCCGACCCGACCCGACCGTTAGGGTTCTCGCGTGCTCTTTCGATTATGCACCACACTCGAATGTCCCGCCCGCACGACCCGACCCGCCCGTTCGGGTCCGCCCGTCCCGACCCGACCCGACCCGCCCGTTAGGGTCCGCCCGACCCGACCCGACCCGACCGTTAGGGTTCTCGCGTGCTCTCTCGATTATGCACCACACTTTAATGTTCCGCCCGCCCAACCCGACCCGCCCGTTAGGGTCCGCCCGACCCGACCCCACCCGACCCGACCGTTTGGGCTCTCGCGTGCCCACTCGATTATGCACCACACTTTAATGTCCCGCCCGCCCGACCCGACCCACCCGTTCGGGTCCGCCCGTCCCGACCCGACCCGACCCGCCCGTTAGGGTCCGCCCGACCCGACCCGACCCGACCGTTCGGGTTCTCGCGTGCTCTTTCGATTATGCACCAAACTTGAATGTCCCGCCCGCCCGACCCGACCCATCCCGTTAGGGTCCGCCCGTCCCGACCCGACCCGACCCGCCCATTAGGGTCCGCCCGATCCAACCCGACCCGACCGTTAGGGTTCTCGCGTGCTCTCTCGATTATGCACCACACTTGAATGTCCCGCCCGCCCGACCCGGCCCGCCCGTTACGGTCCGCCCGTCCCGACCCGACCCGACCCGCCCGTTAGGGTCCGCCCGATCCGACCCGATCCGACCGTTAGGGTTCTCGCCTCGAGAGCCCTCGGGGTCTCTCGCATGCCTCTGCCCGCAGCTGCCTGCGGGCTCCGCTCGGGGCTTTGCGCTTTCGCCGGAATGTCCAGAGGACGAGGAGGAGGCGGAGGACGACGACGAGGACGAGGGGGAGGGGACGGACGAGGAGGATGAGGACGAGGAGGAGGAGGAGGAGGAGGAGGAGCACGAGGAGGAGGAGGAGGACGACGAGGAGGGGGAGGAGGAGGAGGAGGACGAGGAGGAGGAGAAGGAGGAGGAGGAGGAGGAGGAGGAGGAGGAGGAGGGGAGGAGGAGGAGGAGGAGGAGGAGGAGGAGGAGGAGGAGGAGGAGGAGGAGCGAGGAGGGGGAGGAGGACGAGGAGGAGGAGGAGGTAGGAGGAGGAGGACGACGACAACGACGGCGACGACCACAACGACGGCGGCGTCAGCGGACTCGGCGAGACCAGCCCCGGCGAAACCAGTGGGGCGAAACCAGCGCCGGCGAAACAAGCGTCGGGCGAAACCAGCGCTGGCGAAACCAGCGCTGGCGAAACCAGCGTCGGGCGAAACCAGCGTCGGGCGAAACCAGTGTCGGGCGAAACCAGCCCCAGCGAAGCCAGCCCGTGCCGCCCACATGGGGGGGCCTGCCGGTGCGCAGCCCGAAAAGCCGCTTGCCAGTCGCATCGGCCGCCGGTCGCGGCCCCGAGGCCGACCTTCTGCATCCCGGCATCGCCGGCGCGTCGTCGATGCTTCGGGGGTCCCGAGAAACACTCAGCCACGCGCAAAGTCGGGTAGCGGATGGGGGACGGCTTCGTAGAAGCACCCCTGCTTCTTAGAAGGCGCGGGCCTTGTCTCTAGATGGAAGCGCCGGCGCCTTCTATCCCCTCCCCCTGCCTCCTTGTGCGCGCCGCCAAAAATCGTGTGGTGACGGACCGCGTGCAGACTTCACCGCGCGGTTCGTCACCGCACGGTCTTGGGACCTCGAAGGCTCCGGTCGCTCAAGACACTCACCACGCGGAGTAGTCACCACACCGATTGGCGGCGCCCGAATGCATCTGAGCGGCGCCCACAGGTGCGTGGCGCGAGACCGGTGGGCTTCAGTTGGCGGGGCTTCTCAGAGGGTGGGGGGCTTCTTAGAAGCCTGCCGATTTTCCAAGGAAGCTTCTCAAAAGCCCCGGGCCCTTCTCAGAAGGCCCCTGCTTTCCAAAAGGGCCCCCCGCGCCTTCTGAGAAGCGGACCCCCCTCGCGCCAGCCCCGTGTGGGCGCTGCCAAGCATCGGGGGCGCGGCGCGACCTCGGGGCCCCGTCGGCTTCGGGCCCGTGTGTAAAAAAGCTCCTTCAGGAGATGTCTGGTGGGCTGCCCCTGGACTCGCCAGGGACAAGGAGCCGGTGGTCGCCACGGTCGGGCCGGTCGAGGAGTCATGAGGAGGAACATGTAAACCTATACCCGTGCCCCCGCCTCATTTAGTTGGATGGGGCCTCAATTCTGGTGCTTGCCATAGATTCTGGCCTTTGGGGCCCATTCTCTGCCCCTGGGACCATCAAACATTGATTCCAGACGACACGACACCTGGGAACTGGTCTGGAGTTTTGGGGCCCATTCATTGTTCAAATATCAAATCAGAATGTACCGATACCGTTACCGTTGCCTCATTTTCGCTTCTTGGCGCCTTACGGGAGCCTCTCGTCGCCATGGCTGGATTCGCTTCGACATTCTGGTCAGAATGCACCGGTGGGAGATGGCGAGGGAGCGATTAGCGGCGTCGGTATCTTTTAGTTACTCTGAGGACGGCACCGTCGGGCGTCTCTCCGTTCCCAAGGCTCATACACGGCACGTCCAGAAGCGACGTGTCGCCGTGGTCCACGCAGCGGGGCGTCAGCCGGTGCACAACCGACCACCGTGCGACGGCCGCGGCGATCATGAGCCTCTACCGCCCGGCAGCACTCGTGAGCCGCGGGCCACGCTTCCAGGTCTCGTTCCGGCAGGCGATGACTTGCTTGCCGATCATGATGGTGCTGGTTGTCTGGGGGTGTATGTTCTACATGATGGAGTCGAACCTCTCGTGGATACGAGGCCAGGCCATAGAGACTTGCTTGGACGCCTGCCACGACCAGGAGTCAGCCATCGAGGTCATTGTATACAACAACGTCACCGTGGCCGCTTTTCACAGGCTCTTGCAGTCCGTTAGCAAGGGCGTGACGCAGGACATAAAGTGGCCCGCCGACCACGCCGTTGACGCTGTCTGGGGATACATGCGCACCGCTCACGCTCTCAACAGCTCCTGGGACGGCGCAAGCGCGGCGCAGCGGAGCGAGGTGCGCTACCGCGCCATGGTGGAGATCCCTGTCTGCAACTCGGACATGGAATACACGACCAGGGGCTGGGCTGCCAGCAAGCCCATGCTTGCATTTCGCAGTCAGCGGCTATGGCAGCGCGCTTCCGCGTCCCTGATCGACGGGGTCTACGTCAGCTTCGCAGAGGGTCAGTTTGCGGGGGTCGCCATGCGAAAAAACCGCTCCAGGGCGTGCTGCCCCAGGGACGACCTCTCCTATTTTGACGCAGGCGAGTCCAACGGCAGCATCCTTGCTTGGTCTGGTGATCCAGTCGATGTCAATGGAACTGAGGTTGCTTCGCCCGAGGGCGTGGGGCTGCCTCAGCAGGCGGCTGTCCAGGAGTGGCTCGCCACGGCAGGCAACGCGTCGTCGCCCACTGCGGCGCCAGCACAGGGGGGATGGTCGGAGGTGTACTCTGGCGAATCGGACATGAGGATATCTTGGACGGTCCCACTGGCGTATTGTGGCGACTACAGCTGCATGAGCGGTGTCATCGCAGCGGAGATCGCCGTGCGGACGGTGGACTTCGAGGCTCTCCTCACACCAGGGGGCGGTGCGGTAGACTATGGCGAGAACCAGGACCTGCTAATCCAGGTGGCGAAGGACGGCCGAGGGAGCATCTTTCTCGTGAACCACGTCAGCATGCGATTCCCAGATCAGGAGGGTTTGCTTCTCAGCTCCTCGAGGCAGACAGAGCTTGGGATCATGGCAGAGAACTCTGACCAGGGGATCATATCCACAGTGTCACAGGCAATATTGGACAGGTACGGGTCTTGGAACGCTTCGACGTTGCAGACTGAGCAGCCGATCTTCAAGGTGAATCTGACAGCGGCTGCTGAAGGCCGATTCATCGAGTGTGACGCTTTCGAGCAGTCCGAGCACTGCTTCCAGATAGGCACCCAGTCGATAGCAATGGATGGCGCTACCTGCTGGCTGGCGGTGGTCGCGCTACCCGCCTCGCTATTCAACGCGGCCGTGGTGGCGCGCAGCGAGGAGCAACTTAACGAGATCACGATGCTAAATGAGGAGTCGAAGGTCGCAGTAAACGAGGCCAGGGTCGCCATGGTCTTCGCATTCGCGGGCGTCGCCGCCGTCAGCATCGTGGTCGGCCTCGGGCTCGGCTGCTCCATCTCCGAGCCCCTTCGGAACCTTACCGCCCTGATGCAGCTGCTGGGCAACCTCAAGTGCATGAGGGAGACGGACGCCTTCAGGCCACTGCGTTCTGGTAGGCGTTCCCGGATCAAGGACATCAGCCGCTTGGAGGAGACGTTCTGCACTTCTTTGAGAGCCATCGAGGACTTCGCACGCTTCGTTCCGGAGTCGGTCGTGCAGAGGATTGTGGATGATAAGCCCCGTGCCACTCGTTTGCACGTTGACAAGAAAGAGGTAACGATCATGTTCTGCACAATCAAGGACTTCGACGAGACATTCTTTTCCTCGCCAGAATTTGCCACAAAGTGCTACGCGGCGATGACGCACGCCGCGGAGAGGTTTAGAGGAACGGTGTCTGAGATTTTGTCCAGCGGCATTCTGGTCTACTGGAACACGCCCGACCACGTGAACAACCACAAGGCGTGGGCGTGTGCTGCAGCCCTGTCGATCAAACAAGCGATCGAGAAACTCAACGAGCAAGTGAACGGGCCAGGCCGCATACCGCTGAGAGTGCAAATCGGCCTTCACTCAGGGACCGTCCTGGCGGGCAACATCGGCAGCGACAAGTTCATGAAGTTTGGTTGCCTCGGCGACGCCGTCAACTTGGCGAGTCGCGTGGCCGGGCTGTGCAACATCTTCGGCGTTCCCATCGTGGCATCGAGCGCAACTGTGGACGAGCTCATCGAGTCCCACGTCTTCTTCACCCGCAAGCTGGCGCGCGTGACCGTCGTCGGCAGGAGGGAGCCCACGGAGGTCTACGAGCTGCTCGGGCGCGAGCGGAGCGAGCACACCGAGGGCGCAGCCGCGACGCCACCCGTCTTCCAAGACGAGGCGCTTAGTGAGCCATGGAAATGGCAGGGCCTTTTGTTTCTCGCCGTTCTCGGAAGATCTGTCTCTTGATAGTGACCACGGCCGAAAAAATCGGTTCACCGACCTGGTGAAGCAAATCGTTCCCCGAAGCGGTCTGTGGGCAGTCCGAGGATCCAAGGAACGTTCGGAACTGATTCGAAATTTGCTCGGATTTGGTAGCACCAGAAATTGTGGTCTGGACCAGGCTCCACCAGGGGAAACGAAAATGGTAAAACAGCTGCGCCGGCAACTTCAAGCAGCTCACATTGCGCCAGAAACGAGAAGCAATTGAGCAACGACAGCGGTCATTTATTACCTTGCCGTTTCCAGGGCCCACTGAGACGAGGCGGTCGCTCCCACGCCGAAGAGCAGGCCAGAGGTGTCCACGCCGTGGCGGGCCACGACTGCGACCTCCGGGAACATGGGCGGCGGCGGGCCCCACAAGCTGGCCAAGGGCTGCGTCCCCTGGTGCGCCGCCAGTGTGCGCTGCGCCGCTTCCCCGACCGCCATGATGGAGGCGGCAGGCGCGGCTGTGCCGGGGATCATGGATTTCCGGGGCAACGCCAGGGAGGGATATAGGCTCAACGGGGGGGGGGGCTCGACCCCCCGAGCGCCCAGTGATCGCCGATAGGGTCCTGCTAGCCCACCCAGGACTGGGAGGCCGTAGGCCAGGGCTGCCAGGGAGGCCAGGGAGGCCACGGCAGGGGGGCCAGGGCAGGGCAGGGGGGCCACGGGAGGCCACGACGACGCGACGGCACGACGGCGACGACGAAAATTAAGCGTTCCGAAGCCCTGCGGGGGGGGGGGGGGTTCCGCTGGCCCTATCGCCCATCTATCGGCGATGTATCGCTGATTCCAGATCGATGTTTTCCCCTCAGCCCGTCCCCCCCTACCGTTGCCCCTCAGGACTGCGTCAGCCCAGGGCACTCCTCCAACTGCGGGGGGCGCCAGGTCTCGAAGAGGAGAAAACATCATCAACCTAGTCTTTTTGGAGGTCCGCGCGGGGACGCCCCTGGCGGCGCCTTCGACGCCGCCCATGACGTGCTCCGAACGCCAAGGAGGGGGTCTAGCGCCGATCCTAGAAATGCGCCCGGACCTCCGGAAGTTTTTGTGTGCATGTGTTCTGTTCTTGCAAGGTCAGGGAGGCCTCCCCGCACGGCCACGAGCGGCGCAGCGAGTGGGAGGACGTCGTGTCCCCCGCGACGCGGCAGGGCACCAGGGAGTACGAGCAGGCGCTGGAGGCGTACGTGAACCACGACTTCGAGCACGCCCTGGCCCTGGCGGCGAAGCTCGCCAGGGAGGGCGACGTCCCCGCGCAGCGCCTGATCGAGCGAATCGGAGAGGTGGAGCAGGAGGAGAGGGACCTGCCGGAGGAGGAGAGGTCGCCCTGGACGGGCGACTGGCGCGTGACCAAGAAGAAGTGAGGCGGCGCCTGGGTGGCCGCCTGATGCCCTCAAGCGCCGTCCCGCGGCCCTGCGGCCTTGCCACGTGGTGCTGCTGCCGTGCGTTGCAGAACAGCCAGCGGCCGTGCCACGTGATGCTGCTGCTGCCGTGCCCTGCGACCTTGCCGTGCGACCTTGCCACGTGATGCTGCTCCTGCTGCTGCGGCCGTGCCGTGCGGCCTTGCCACGTGATGCTGCTGGTGCTGCCGTGCCACGGGTGCGGTAGAACAGCCGGCTGTAAAGCGGCCAGAGGCAGTCTCAATAGTTGTGAGGCTGTGGACAAGCTGGCCGTGGTGCGGCCAGCCTGCGCTCAACTGCCCTGTCCACTTTCGTACACACAGTTCTGCAACTATAGGGGCGGCCCCGCTGCTTACATTAATTAGTTGAGTGCATCGCCCGTGCAACTGGTTTTCGAATGTAGTTTCGATGTGGCCAAACGCCTTGAGGTGAGCACGCGACCAGCAGATGCCTTCAGGCGAGCACATGTCTTGCAAATTCCTTCTGGCGTCGCACAGTATTTCTCTTGCCAGTTACCTATAAACCATCTGGTTATCACTGCAACACTCGTGATCATGAACTTGCCACAGAAGTAAGAGTTGACCCCCAAGAGGGGTCAGCGCCATCGTACCCAGGGTTTCTCTGGACACCCACCTTTTAGATTGCAGCGTTACGCGTCGCAGAGATGTGGCTGGGCAGGGGGATGACCACATGGCGATAGCGACGGCTTTGTAGGCTTACGTTGTGTACGCGTCGCCTCGTCTCCGTATCATTCAAGGGCTCCCGCGCTCCCGGTTTGCAGAAGCAAGCATCGCATGCTGGCAGCGTCGGCGGGTGAGTGCAGGAGAATGGTGTAGTGGAGGGGGCAGTGGCAACGTATGCACCGATGTCCACACTTGGCAGATGTTTTGTTGGTCTTGCATATTCGCGTTCTTCGCGGATCGCGAATCGCCCTGAATCATCGAAGGGTATCCGCAGTCCACTTTTAGCAGCCTCACCGGCATGAAGTATGAGGCACAATCCTTTGAGTTTTGTCTCATGTAGTTTTGACGAGCGTCCTCACACGGCTGCCCCGAAGTACCGAAATTCACTCGTCTTCAGTCGCAGAGTCAGGTCGACCGAGCAATTTGGAGATCCTCAAGCGGCGAATTCATAGTCGGGCTCAGCACGCAGCATTTGTTCGGAGACTGGGCGAGACGCGTGATCGCCAGATGTGGAGTTCGACTTTGAGGTGGCACACATCGAGTTTACACTCCGTGGCTGCCTCCGCTCCAGAATGCGCGCTCCAGAAAGGTCCTCGCCTTCGGCGCATTGCGCCTGCGGCCGAATCTTGCGGAAGCAGCACGGCGTCGCAGGCCCGCGGAAGTCGGCAGTAGACGGTGGAGACGAAAGCGCGACAGATTGTGGGTTTCCAGAGTCGGCCATGCCTTCGCAGGCGCGGTGGGGTTCTTTGCAGAACCAAGAGCAAGGCGGAAGGCGCGGTCGGGAGGACGATGAGGGGGGAGTCCACCCAGCGTTTGGGTTTGAGAAACTTTGGGCAGGCTGAGTTCGTCATCGGCCCGGGTTGATGCGAACCCAGCTCACTGGGAAATTGGAAAGGGTGGTAGCTTCTGGCCCTTCCCCCCACTTTTTCCAGCCTCCCCCTAAGCCCCTCTGTTTTCTAATCCATGCCGCCATGTCACCATGCCTCGTTTGATTCGGGCTCGTTTCAGCCCCAGCCAGTTTTCACGACCCTGGCCACTTCAGTGTTTCTTGAACTTCCATATTCTACTATTCCAGGTTCTCTTGACCCCAGCCTGATCTGACTTGCTGGCTCAGTCCAGAGCGATCGACAGCTCCTTGATCAAGCTCGGCAGCCCATGCGCATGATGTTCGCACGTGACCGTATGGTCGTGAATATGGCCGTGCACGATTCCTTGCTATCCAAGTTGTCGGTTCCACAGTCAGGATGCAGCTCCTGGGAGGTTAAAGTGAGCATCGTCGCTGGTATATTTGTGATCGTAAATCAGCCTAACCCCGCACAAGCCCATTGAATCCGGCCATATCCCGCCTAATCCAGCTTAGTCCCAGGCTTCATCTGGCCCCATCCTCTTCAAAGGCCGCTAAATCAGGCTCAGTAGCTCATCATCTTTTTTGTGCGAAGACCTCCCAGAAGTTGAGTCCAAATGGACCCCCCGGGTAGCCCGTGCTGCCCACCAAGGCATCCCAGGAGATGCCACCCACAGTTTCCCGCGGTGCCCCGTCGGGCATTCCAGAATGGGCCTCGCCGTCGAGGGATCGAAGGAGTTGGCACCTCTTCTTCTGCGGAAGGCGGCGGAAGGCCGGCGGAAGCCAGCGCAACCAAATTTTCTCTCGCAGGGGCGGGGGTGCGCATCCCTCGCAGGGGCGGGGGTGCGCGGGGGCAGGACATTAGGCTTTTCTTCCAACATTTCGTAGCGCAAGCTGTCGTCCGCCTCGCGGGGTCTCGTGGGTTCTCACATTTCGGGGGAGCGTAAGACCCGGGTTTGCCGGGACTCGGGTTCGCCATCGTTTTTTGACGACCGCGACTCGGATTTTGACGAGGAGGAGTTTCGTGGGATGTCTGCAGCGGGAGGCCTCGTCAAAATGCATGCTCGGCCTCGTCATTTTTTTGACGACCTCGTCGGGGATTTCCGAGTCCCCCGTACCCGGGTCTTACGCCTCCCCGAACATTGATTGCAGATACGATGGCGCCTCGATTGCGGTAAGCATTCAGACCCTCCCGAAGCCTTTCGAGACTGACGCGACAGGGGATTCGCGCGACCAGAAGCACGAAGCGAAAGAGAGGCCGCCGCCGGCGGCCGAAGTAAAAGACGTGCCCCAGGAGATGGCAGCACTGTTTGGTGCAGGGTTTCCGGGTCCCGCCACGTAGCCGTAGCGCCCCCCCGGGCCCCGCGCCGAGGCAGGCTCCCCGAGGAGGACCCCGCGCTGGCGCTGCCGGAGCTGCCGCGCGGACAGGACGCGCGCCCCGCTCTGCTGCCGAGGGCGCCGGCGGCCGGCGCCGGGAGGCCGCCGATCGCCGGCCGCGGTCGTCGTCTCGCGGGGCCTCTGCCCCGAGGTCTGGGCGCTGCAGCGTCTCACACCGGGCGTGTGCGCCCCGCTCCCGGACCACCACGGACAGGCTCGAGAGGTGCAGCGGAGATGTGAGGTCTGGGGCTCGCGTGGCGACTTCCATGGTGTCGCATGCACCAAGAGGAGGGCCAGTTGAGACAAGAGTATTTTAGTGTGTTCGGCCCCTGGGAGAGGTCCAGAACCCGATTTTGGGCTGCCGTTGGCTCAAATCGCCATCCTCCGACCTACAGGCAGAAACATTCTCGCAGCGCGTCGCGCCAGTAGTTCTGGCCCCTCCCACGCATTGACGCGACATGCTGGCCACGTCAAAGTTCCAAACGGTCATCGAATAATAAAGACACATGCTAACATGAACTTCTGGACGTCCGACGGATTTCTTGGATCGGCGCTGGGCCCCCCCTGGCAGCGCCTGCGGCACCGCCCCTGGCGCGCTCCGCGTGCCAGGGATGGGGGGGGGCTCAGCGCCGATTCAAGATATCTGCGCGATACTCCGACAATTCATGCTTATGCAATTTTTCTGGTTCTCTAGGTTAGGAGGGCTGGCTCACGGCATCCCGCCGCTAGTTCTGGCCGTCCACGCATATGCGCGGCGCACTAACCACGTCCATTCTCGTCCGGGTTTGCAAGCGTCGACATTCCGAGCCATTCCCAGCCTCTCGCCGGGTAAAACGGAGCGGCACGCGGTCAGCCTGCAGGCACAGCGTGTCGCCGGGGCCGCCGCCGCGTCACGCGAAAGCTCTGGCCGAAGAAAACAGTTCCCGACCGTATGTGTATGCAGTTGTTGTTGTGCCCTTTTATCCCCAGACCCCCGACGACACGTTTTTCTTCAGAACGTCGACGCCCGAAGGTGTCGACCCATCCCCCAGAAACCATTTTCTCATCCGTAGTTTTTCGTTTGACGGTCCCGAGGCCCACTGAGGGCCCCCCGAGGCCGAAAATCGCGAACCATTTTCCGTTGTGGCTTTCGCATGACCCGAAGGGGTCCAGGGCCTGACCGCAGCCTTTCCTACAAGGTCACGGCGGCGCCTCCTCTGTAGGCGTCGGCCTCTGGAGCGCCCGCAGGCGCGCTGGTCTTGGCGAGGGGAGGAGAGGGAGGAGGGGGAGGCGAGGAGCGACGAGGAGGCGTGATGAGTGAGGGGTGAAGAGTGAGGAGTGGAGGAGGAGGAGCAGGAGGAGGAGGAGGAGGAGGAGGAGGAGGAGGAGGAGGACAGGGGAGGGAGGAGGGAGGAGAGAGAATGGAGGATGAAGGAGGGAGGAAGGAGACGAGAGGAGAGAGGGTCGTTACCTCGTGTTGTGCCCAATGTTCACCAACCCATTGTTTTATAGTTTGCAGGGGGGCGTTTTCTTTTCTGTTCCCAGCTTGTGCCAACGTTTAAAGTCGTTTCCATCAAGCGGCTTTTTTTGGTATGGTGTCCAGCTTTCTTTTTGCCGTTTCTAGATCCCCGTTGTTGACTCACAAAGCGTAAGATTTGGAAACTAGAAAGAAACGCCCTGATCGTTTCCAAGGCACACCAGTGCTATCGAGGGCCTAGCACCAATGTATCGGCAGTGTATCGCCGATCCCAGGTCCATGTTCCACCCCCTGAGCCAGGCGCCCCTTTTCTTTGCCCCTCAACCCTGGCCCTTGACAGCTGAGCCTATGGCTTCCCCGGCCCATCCCACGGCAGCTTCAAAGCTCATGGGCTCTTGGGTGCGGGTCTGCACCCCTTTGGAACAAATTTTGGAAACCACCGGCAAACGCCCGAACACCCCCCCGACAACAAACCATACCAAAAAACAGCGAAGAAACCCAACAACAAAAACCCTTGTGCTTTTTGTTGTCTGGAAGGGGGGGTCGGGGGTTCCTGGAAGATCCTGGGGGTGGTCGGGGAGACCGCGGACAATCATTAAAATTGAAGCAAAAATCCGAATGGTGTTTTTTGTTGGTTTCCCCCTCTGAGCCTGGGTTGGCCAGAGAACCCACGGAAAACACCAGAGAACTTTTTCGAAAACACCATGTGAACATCCAGACAAAACCACCGAACAACACGAGACAACCACAGAAAAATACCGGGGGGTCCCTGGGAGGTCTTCCCGAAGTGCGATTTTGGAGCATTTGTTGGAAATACCCCGAAAACAATCCGAAAACCTTCCACGCAGGTTTACTTCTCGTGTTTTCTGTTGGTTGTGTGGGGGGTCCTGTTGGGGGCATTGGATGTTCTGTTTTAGAAATTGTGTTTAACCGTGGGGCCGAAGACCCCCCGACACCCACCCAGCTCCCCCCCCCACCCCTGGCCCCAAGGAGAAAACCACTGAACAAACACATTCGGCTTTCATTGCTGTTTTTTATAGGTTTTCTGGGAGGGGCCCAGGAGACTCCCACACCGGTCTCCTCCCCATGGTGGCCGCACGCGATGGCGCGAGCGCGAGGATGGTCTTCGTCTCGCTCGAAGCGCACGGCGCGGCGCGGCCAGAGAGAAGCGCCCCACAACTGCGGTCGGGAGCCTCTGCTCAGCGTGTCGCTCCGTCGGCCCCGGCCCACCACGCTTCGGCGCGACACGCTATATCCGCGTCCCAGCCCCCAAGCCTCCGTGTCCCCGAGCCTCCCGCCACCCTTTCAGCGAAGCGGTGCGCTATCCGATCGCGGGGCGCAGCGTGTCGCTGGGGCCGCCGCCGCGGCACGCGGGCCGCCGTCCCCCTCCCCGGGTGCCCCCCCGGGTGCCGGCTGCAGGCCCACACCCCTTGCGAGCCACACCCGTCGGAGTTGCCGAAGGGGGATCTCGGAGGCCGGCTGCGACACGCCACCGCGAGTCGCCCTGCAGGAGGTGCCCTCGTCGTCGCAGGGCTTGTCGAGGCAGCGGCGGCCCTCCCCGGAGCCGGAGGCTTCTCGTCGCCACACGGCTGGATCCGCGCATGGCCTCGAGCGATCGATGCGACGGCAGCGCCGGCGGCGGCGACGGCGACGGCCGTCCGGAGAGCCCCCGAGGAGCGCGGGCCAAGCAGGACCATCGTGGTGGGCGGCGGGCCGGGCGGGCTCGCGGCGGCGCTGGCGCTGGAGAGCCACGGGAGGGGAAGACGTCGCCGCCGTCGCCGTCGCCGTCGTTAGGGTCGTCGCCAAGGTTCGAGGAGGGGGGCTCGAGCACGTTCATAGGCCGTTCTTCGAGACTTCCCACACGGGGTCGAAGTAGACAGGGTCGGGGGGATCGCGTCGCATCGCCGAGGCATCGGCGATGCGGCGCGGTGTGAATCCCGAGTTTCTCCACGCCCACGTCGCCGGTGCATCGCCGTCGTCGCCGACGCGATCCTCTGACCCTACCTGCTCGAACACTATTTGGGCGGCCTCGTGCCCTTGGCCTCCAGGAGCGCCATCGCTGGTACGGCTAGGTTCGCTGCAGCTGCCTCCGGGTCTCGGCGCGTGGGGCGCCCTGAGGGCTGGTCGCGCTGATCGTGCCCCCTCCTCTCCAGCGTGCGGCCGCCGCCCGACCGCTCGCCTGCAAGGACCCCCAGCTACGTCCACTGCGCTGGCTGTCGCTTCTGCACCTTTGTGACCTGATACGGCACAGTTCTTGTCACCTTGGGAAGGGGCGTTCGCACTGGACCGCCGTGCAGGTTCGACGCATAGGGGACGCGTTTGGATGTTCTACGTCTTGTCCGTTCATTCTGATGCATTGCGCCAGCGCCTCGCTGGTTGCACGGTTTGCAGCTTGGGCTTCAAGGACATGCCGTTCTGCAAGGGCGCCCTGGGGATTGTTGTTTCGGTGCCCGCAGAGAAGGTTCGCTGCCATGCTGCTGGGACCCTTCTCTTCGTTATGGGTGTGCCGACGTTCTGTCTGTACCTGTGGAAGTCGTCACCGTGTCCTGGTTCCGCGCCATCTTGGCCGCGTTGAGCTCAGCGGGGGTTCTGATGCGGCCGCCCCTGCTCGCTGTTTTTTCCTTCCGTCGGCGCGTAGCCCGCCCGTCCTGCGCGGCTTTCGACTTGCTTCGCGAGCCCGCGAACCAGCAAGTATGCCCACCAGCCCATCCGGAAGCGATACCCAGGAGAGCTATCGGGAGAAGGTAATCAGATCTGATGTTGGGGTTCGAACAAAGTGAACCCAACCAGGATATCCGTTTAGGTGTTGGTTCGTGTTGGTGCGGGCGAGGTGGAGCTGCGCGAGGGCTACGATGTGCCAACCAAGGCTAGAGACAAGTCGTGCCAAACAGGTGTCGCCCAGCTGGCTCTGCGGTGCATCAGCGAATTTCCGAAGGTCGTCCCGGGGTTCTTCCGTGGTTGTCTTGCAGTTCGCGGTTGTCCCGCTTTGTCGTGGTTGTCCCACGGTTGGTTCTTCGCCGAGGTTGTTTCACGTTTCCCCCCGCCATTCCATCCAGAGAGTAATCCATCCCTTTGCCTTGCGCTGCGCACGCTTCTCTGCATTGCGTCTCTCTCTCTCTCTCTCTCTCTCCCTCTCTGTTTCTTTCTCTCTCTGTGCCTTTGCGTTCCCCTTGCCGTTCAGCCTTCGTGTGCCGATTCCGGGCCATGTGGCATACTGTTGGTCGTAGAGTTTTGTTGCCCTTATTCCCTTTTTCTGTCTGCCGTGTTCATTTCGCGTATACTCACCCTTGTCATCATTATTTTCGCATCCGCCTCCCTCTGCGTCTCCTCGCCCCTCCTTGCTCCTTGCTTCTCCTCCCTCTTCCACTCCTTCGCCCACCCTGCCTTGTCCCCCCCCCCCCTCCTTCCCGCTTCCCCGCCCTCTCTTCCTAATAACAGCGTTCATCCTCTCCGCCTTCTCCTCCTCTCCCTTCTTCCCCCCCATCCTCTCCCCTCGTTCATTCCCCTTCTTCTCACTCCCCGTCTCTCCCCATTCTCCCTCGCTCACTCCTCCTCCAACCCTTTTACATCCCTCTTCCCGCCTCGCTCACCCCTCATCCCTTCCGTTCCAGCCCCCCTTCCTCCTCCCTTTTGATTATTTCTCTTCTACATATCCCTCTGCCCTTCTCCTCTTCACTCCTATCCACTCCGTCATCACTTGTCCCTTCCCATCCATTTCCGTCTCTCTTTCTGCCTGCTCTTCGTTCTCATTGTCGCCCTCTCTGCTCCGCCGCCCATTCTCTGTGTACGCCGACTACAGTGGGCGGGTACACCCTGGCCAACGCCGAAGTCCCCTTTCCCCCGGAACTTCAGCACCATGATTATGGGGCATTCTTGCGTGTAAGAACTCGCATGCGCTCAGCGCTGCAATTGTGTATTTTACTGTGCCCACCCGCCTCTCTCGAGGCGCGTCGCGGGTGGACTGGCATCGAGGTGCCCGCGGGGCGGGCATGGTTCAGGGCAACCATCTGTTGCAATGCAGCGCGTTTGTATCAATCTTCATGATGTGAGTTTTTATGTTCCAGAGCGGTATGCCTTGAATGAATTCCCAGATTGATGTTCTGGAGCGGTATGCCTTGAATGGGTTCCCAGACGAGTGAAAATGAGCCTCCCCTCCAGGGTTACGTACCAACGTCGTCTGTAACATATCGTCACGGTTGGCCTTGGAAACATGGCGTGTCATGTGGTGCCACCAGCCCGTATGTGACACCTCATCCCTTCGCTTGGAGATAACGTGCACCGAGGAACCACCTGGCAGGGGGATGGCGTGCACAGAAGGGGCTCTCGCGGGGGGGGATCGCCTCACAGGGATAGCGTGGTTCTGGGAGATCGATGCTGCACGCTATCTTTCCATCGCCGACCGCACATGTGTTGCAAGTCTTGTCGAGCATGCTTAGGAAAAGGCAAGGACTAGGGTATGTCCATGTTCGGGCAAGCCGAACGATGTGCGCCATGAGAATTCAGGTAGGCACGTGGGACTTAGGCAGCATGTCTTGAAGCTTACTTATTGAGGGCATCGTGGGAACCTTCTGGCGGCCTCTTTGGGGCCTCTTGGAGGTTTGCTGGGCCTTCCGGGGCCTCTCGGGGGCCTCTGGGGGTCATGTTGAAGGTCTTTGGGGCCATATTAGCGGGCAAGGCTCCGAATCCCCCGCCGACTTCCACCTCTTGGCCCACCCCCTCTTGGGGCCCTCTTGGGGCCCCCTTGGGGCCCCCTTGGGCCAGCTTTGACACTTCATGGGCCGTCTCTATTGGGCCGTCTTGGCAATTTCTTGCAAGCCATGTGAGCCGTCTTGGGGCCATCTTGAGAAACTATTGGGCGGCGTGGGGCGTCGTGAGTTCGAACCGGCGAAAACGCTGGATTCAGTGGAGAGGCATCGTGGAGCGACTTGGAGGCTTTCAGGGCCACCTCGAGGAAATTTTGGACCGTCTTGGAGCGCTCTCGAGCCGACTCGGGACCCTCTTGGACAGTCTTTGGGTCATCTTGGGACACTCTTGGCCCGTTTGGGGGATTTGCGGCCCCCGCCAAAGCCATGAGAGAAGCCTCATATGTTACGCTGGAAGGCCCAAGAGATCCATGAGTTGGGGTTGGAAACCCTCGAGAGAGTACCCAGCACAGAGAACGCAGAACTCGAAATGACTTACTGCAGGGTAGCGAGTGTTTGAGGGAAGGGTGGTGGATGACACTATGGGAAGACAGGAAATAAGGTACGGTTGCGGACGGAGAGGGAGGAGGGAAGACGGGAGATGTAGGAGCTATGGAGGATGAATAAGGAGGGATACTGATCAGGAGCATGAAGAGGCAGACAAGAAGGAAGATAAGGAGGAACAACACCATGAGTAGGAGGGTGGAGGGGGGATTGGGGGAGCCTTGAGCTACGAGGGGGAGGGAGGAAGCCGCGGGGGGACGCAGAAAAAAGATTCGGGGGCAGGGTGGAAAGAGCAGGAATCAGGAGGAGTTTTGAGGAGAAGGACGGAGCAGTTGCCCCGCCCCGCGGGGCGATGGCCGCCCGGATGCGTGCGCCTCCGCCCCACAAGGCCTCATGGGCCATCGCAGCCGGGGCCTGCGGAGGGGGGGGGGGAGGGGGAGGGGCAGGAGGGAGTAGGGGTCGCGGAGACGAGAGTAAGGAGGGGGCAGAGGAGGACAGGGATGAGGGAGCAGAGAGGATCACGGGGCAAGCTACGCGCGCTCGCGCCATCTCTAACGTTCCATTTACGCTGATTTTTTTCTCTACCCGCCCACGCGTGTCATGGCGGTGGCTCTGGAGGCTCTGGAATTCTAGAATGGACTCCGTCGTGGTATGCGCAATCGGGAAAACGGAGCTGCTGCATACATTGGCGGAGGGGGAGGTGGCGGATGAATACGTAAGAAGATAAGCAGGAGGGGAATGAGAACGATAAGACAATTTCTGTTCACAAGGTGAAGGAAGACGTAGCCTCAGACCGAGGAGGGGACACTACTGTCAGGACCTGACCGTCTCACCTTACCAGTCTTGCTGAAGGCCGCTGGCCACAAACCTCGTCGGAGCTTGGCTAAACTACCCTCTCCTGTTGGCGCGGCTCATTCACAGCTTGCGGATGGAGAAATTCTGTCGGTTAGCGAAAGACCCGCCCCTTCCACAGAACCACACGCCCAACTTCGTGATTAAATTCACTGAAGGAGACCTTTGCGCGTCCCCAGCCCCATGACGTTCGCTATCCCCAGGGATGCCGTGAACATCCCCGTTCACATCGAAGGGTATAAGCCAGGGGTGCATTTCCAGAGCTCAGGCCTAGCTTTGGAGTTCGACCCCAAACAACGCTTACACTTCCTGGCACAGTCTTCGAGCACGCGGCTGGTCCCAAACACTAAAACTGTGCTACGAGCTGTAGGTGGGAAAGGAGGAGGAGGAGGTGCACCGCTCTCCCTTCTCAGCCTCCCATCTTCGAAGTCGTTGGTCATGGCGTCCGCAGCCGCACGGACGAGCCTGTGCCTGACGAGAGAGGCCTGCCTCTCGATGTCCAGGATGCGATGCCCTTCGGCACCCGGTGTCCTCACTTCACTCGCCATGGCGCTCACTGTGTCATCCAGTCATCCACGATGGTGTTGCCGAACACTTGCCACCGAGGGGCACGTCCGTCATCAACATCTCTATCAGACACCTGTGAATGCACACGTTCAACGTCGATGTCTGTCATGTTCCTGCGTCTGAGCACGAGCTGGATCTGAGTCCAAAAGTCAGCATCCTCTTCTCGGGGCTCGCCCTGCTTCCGTTGAAGCCATATCTCCTTCACGTTCCCGCAGTCATTGATAAACTTGATCGGCCCCAAACTTGCTCACAATACTAACCAGGCTGCGTTCAACTTTCCTCGTGGCATCGACTGCTTCCATCCTGCAAGTCCGCCTGCCATGTGAGTTTGCACACATGCTGGCTCAAATGATGCAAGCACGACGCCCCCCCAGGCTATTCGCCTCAAGCGTGGGTCAGGCGAATCAGTTCCTCTTGGCGCAACCCCGAAAATTATGGTGGGATGCTCTGAAGACCTCACCGGTAGGCAGTCTGGGTCCGCATTTCCGAAGCCTGAACTGAGCCAATCATCGTGAAACTGCTGATCAGGGGTTTTTGTCCAAGCAGCCGGTATCGCACCTCTTAATCACAAGCACGTGTACAGTTCACGTGGGCACTTGCGGCTCGAAGCAAAGAATCGCTCGCCTCATCGATTACAGACCCTCGATTATCCTTGCACATGCACGATCGACATCGTGGATCTTAGGCACGCTCTCGACAGCGCGTGCACTTCACACGATCACTTAAGTCGTCATCCGACTTGTCACTGTGCTCGGCCAGCGTCGCGCGACGGACACGTGTCCATGGACCACCGATCGCAATAATCAAAAACAGCCCTGCTAATCTCGCTTATCCTGCTTTGACCGTGCTGAGTTGCTTCAACCACCTCTTCAACTTGTATGTATCAATACCTCCGCGCACCCCTTCGCCGTCGAAGTGGTTGGACGCCTGTTCTAACTGCACGTCCATGGCAGCTTCCCAAACATCCTCTACGAAATCATCAAACACATCGAACGGCTTGATGCCTGTTTACCCTCGTCATAAAACGCCAATCATGATCAGCATGAGGCAACTCCCATTCTGTCGGACCCTTCTGGGTCCAACCGAAAGAGAGCGCATGCGTGACAATCGCAGATACAGGCCCACGAACATGCCGAGACCGCTGTGTTGGTGAACGCTGATCTAGCTTAATCGAACTGCGATTCCAAGCCTGTCGTACGGCTGGCCTGATCTTTGGGTGATCACGCCACTGCTGAAGCCACAAAGCAAACGTTCCATGCGATCTTTTTGTGTGCCGGATCCTGGTCATTCGTTTGTACTGCCACGATGATCCAAGCTTGCGGCGAGGCTGAATAGGATCCTGTCTGAACCCGCCACGCACCTGATATGCATAACTTTCTGCTGCCTGACCTTCCTGCTTCTCGAGGCGTGGACAGAGTGCTGTTCTCTCCGGCGTCTTTGTGAGGCTCCGTACGTTCGTGCGTCCCTCGACGTGCTTGATGACTCGCATGTTACGTTGATCGCGAGCATGCCTCCGACCACGCCCCAGGTCAGCACCGAGATCAGTGCACGCGCGAGCAGCCGTCATGGTAATCCCTTCCCTGCGCAGCGTCCTCACGATGACCACCGCATCCTCATGGAAGGAACATTCCACGACCGACTTGCTCGCAATACGCAGCCCATGCTGCCGAAAACCACCAGCCGTCTGAGAAATACGTTGCGCTAATTCCTTTTGCATCTGCCGCCGTGAAGCTCGCGTAGCCTGTGACAAGTCGTCGATCCATATGTGATGACTGCACCGAACGCTGGCTTGGCACACCCTCAGCATCACATACTTAGCCATACACCGAGCAAGTCGGATGCCAGACCGCAATCCTTGGATAATTGATTATGTGACTTCGAATGGATAAGAACAGGCAGCAAGTTTTTCAAAGTCCGTGGACATGCACACTGAAGAAGCTCCAAGTAAAGTACAGTAGGTGGAAATTGCAGGCGTGCCACAGTCTGGGCCAGTTTGAGCCAGAACATCGTGTCAAATTGCGATTCAATGTCAAATGTCAATCAGACTGTACCCATATGGAATATCGAGTGTTGCTTAGACCTCATCGAGAAGACGCCAAACAGCCTCCTGCAACGAGAACTGTCCTTTGATCGCTGTATCCCACTTGGGTTCGGTGGGAGCCGTCCACTGCTGCACCAAGCTCGCGATCTTTACTCCAGATCCTTCCCAGCATAACTATGAGCCCGATGATATCATCCCCGTTGGCCTTTCCTGCGGAGCAGTTTCCCGATGACGACAAGGGTCCGTGCAGGCCACACCAGCAATGCCTCGATGCTGCAGAGGAGGTCCGCCAACTCGCTGAGGCCCATATCAGGGAGCCTCTCGAG